CTGAAAGTGCTAATGTGATTTTAATTCATGTCTACTGAAGGTCAAAATGTGTTTTGTTATTAGAGTTATACCACTTTTGCTCACGTGACCCATTGTCGTCCCGTTGGTTTATTTTAGTAAATCCACAAATGTCTATTTGTCTTTATATTGTAAATTTGCCACACTTGCTTTTCAAATGCAAAGGATAACATAAATATTTTGTATTGTCTTAGCTACATATAACTGTGGTAAATCTTGTATCGACATTCCACCGTGGCTGGGACTGAGCAGCTTTAGTCAAAGTGTAACGTCTAGAGATAGACGGAAGGTAGGGAAGATAGACTTCTTCATTAATTATTGAAAATATTAACCAAGGTAGGTTTTTTCAACGACTGATCTATTGGATTTCTGGGAAAAACAGGTATTAGAAAGGTCATGTTAATATCAAGTGTTATGCGTAGAATTATTCATAAGCAAATGACACAGCGTTCAATACATGTTTTATATTATGTAAATTTACACGTTCAGCGCTGTGTACTGGCAATGCAACTGAATTTTTCAGTTGTATCGTTTTTTATGGTATAAGTCAAAATCACTCACTTTAAAGCGTAGGTTTACAGATATAAATCTACATTTTATGGCCAGTCTTGTAAATTCTTCTCTGACTAGCGCCCTATATCTGAAAATACACACTTTCTCGTGTTCTTTCTATGGACTATGATAACTGAACTGTATAAGATTACCTACGAAGGCTACTGTGGAAGATAATTAAAGCAGTATTACAAGACAGCCCACAAAATAGCAATATTGATATAGTTCAAATTTGTGCGGTAAGAATGAAAAATACATCTGAAAACGTCCAGTTCCAGTTCGCAATCCTTCTCTGTGGGCTTTCTCCTACTTCGTTACCGTAATACTATTTTTTAATCTAGTCTTCACACCACGCATTAGGCATTCTACTACTTCGTTACTGTCATACCATTTCATGTTCACTCAAATGACAGTGGTCGTTGCGTCGCGTCCTGTTCGATAAGGGACTCATGGCGACGTATACAACGCGTGTAAACTACATTGTTTATTTACATGTTGCGCGATGACCACAGCCCTTCAATAAAATAGGTCACATTTGTTCTCTGTGTAAAACAATTATTCCTTCGTTAAGAATGTGACCACATCACGTGTATGACGTGTATGTGATAATAACGTTGTTCAAATCGCATCGATGACGAAACAGTCTGAGGTACTGACAAGAGTTGTTTCAGAAAATTCTTGTTCTTGTTTCGTAGACCATATATATATTATATTCTTTGAATGACTCAAGATTCTCAACTACTAGTATGTTGCGATGGTAACTGTTTTGTTAATATTTTCTGAAATATGTGACAATGAAATGTGAATAATTATATTTATTCTATGCCCTTTGACCTTGTCGGCATCAGAACATTAAAAACAACATTAAATAAAGTCTAATTTATGTTAATTACATAGACGTCATAAATTTATTTAATAAGTTAAGTTAATTTATTCACAATTTATGTTGTGTTCAGTGGTTTACATGGAAGAAAACCTCGTTGGTTTATTAATTAAATTTCTATAATTATCCAGAAAAGAAAGTGCCAGTCGATCAATGTTACTCCGAGATACATTATAAAAAAAATTACCTAAAGCGGGGGAGTCGTCACCTACGCATGCGGCAGGTGGCCATAGTGTAACATTGTTTGCAAACAAGCGTCTACCCATGAGCCTTTGCGTTTTTAGCGTGTGTTGTTATCGTCGCTTGGGACTCAATTCCCACGCGTGTGCAGGTGACGACCCTCCCGCTTTTTAATAACAGCAAAAAAAAATCATAATCAAAAATAACAATGAAAAATAAAGATATAAAAATAAATATATAGCGTATACCTACATCCGATTTTAATCAGATTGAGTATTATCGAGTTGTTACCAAGCAACGGTAATCGAAACATTTAGACCGTTGCCAAAAGAACATTTTAGTACAAAACACACAACAGCCATGTAACGGATATAAATGATATAGCGGAAACCGTCTTTACAGTCTAGTAAATACGCGACTTGCTTTTTGTGGGGCTACTTTGAAATATGTTCCCATGATTGACCAACCACACAACCGGATGTGTCACGTGACTGCAGTTAACATCCGTAAAACGTGTTATCACATCGCGCCGCGAGTTGATTTGTCAATGAATAAACCCTGGATACTTGACAAAATGTCAAACATTCTTAGGAAGGAAAACTCTAATATACACGTACCAGTTTCAAAGTGTCTACAAAAAAAAAAAAAAAAACGAGCAAAATGTGTTCCAAATGGTAACCGCGTGAGTTTATTTTTCGGAAAGTACATAACCATAAATCGAGTTTTGAACCAAACTTAGAATTTCTAAATTGTTGATACCATCACTGTTTACTATCACATTATTTTAATACTGCGTTGAACAGTAAGGAAGAAAGTTGTTCGAAAGACACCTGACATGATTCAAATAGTTTGCAGTTTCTGTATGCGTTTTCGACGGGTGGCGTGTGGAGTATGAGTGGAACATGTCGAACTCTTTGAAAATATATTGTTTCTATCTACCGAGTCTATCTGCTTATATAGACAATACTTGACTCAAGAGGGCGCTATTTCTCAAACTTCGCCCAAGTCAGGATTTATAGTATTACACAGGAACACGTGTGACCTTCCTGTACGTGTCATTGGTTAATATTGAGATTATGAATGGTGAACGAAAAATTGCGTTTTGTTAGTGATATCTAAGAAAATAGCCTCATTTTGTTTACGTCACGTGCGACGCAATATGACATCCACAAACTTCAGAGCCAGTCATCAGAAATCATGTTTCAGTTATGTTTGTTTTCCAAACAGACAAGTGTGTACTTTTTTTATAAAAATGTGATGATAACTTATTCCATAGTTTAATTTCCTGGTAGTTATATGAAAATTAACCAAAGCGGGTTTTGTTTTTAGGTTGTTTTGAGAATCTAGTATTATGATTATGTTCAGTTATGAAAAAAACAAAACGATTTTTTTCAAATAAATTATTTCCAAGCTGAGAATACGAACTAAATCAAACCTTGTAGATTATTATAGAACTAGGCTTTACAAAGCATACCGAAAGTGTTTAGAGTAGCGGTCATTGCGCCGCGCATGCGCGAAATATAGAGCCTTTATTTAAAGCGTGGTGGTCGTCGCGCAGCGCGTGTTCGAATTTCATGTAAATAAACAATGTATTTTACACGCGTTGTATACGTTGCTATGAGTCCCATATCGAACAGGACGCGACACGACGACTGCCGCCCTTTAACAAACAAGGAGCTTGTTGCGCAGAATAAGGCGTACAAAAGGGTATACTACCTATGTAACTAGACATCGGAATTCTGCAAGGCGTTTTAATTAATTGTATTCAATATTTGATCATAGACCTTAAAAGACTTTTAAGGTCTATGCTTTGATATGTAATATGTGTGACTGTTTTCTGTCAACAATGGTACGCCACCCTCGTTTGAAAAAAATACAGATATAGCGCCCTCATTGCCCAAAAATACTATATACGTACATGTACATTGCTATCGCATCTGATGACATTTAAGAATATTTTGGCTTATTTGGGTCGTTTTTGTTTTGAGTTCTAAAACTTTGTGATATTAGCTTAACAATGGTTTCAAGTGTTTTTAGAATTATGCAAAATAGTTTTAAAAAAAAAATAATGCCAACAATACTGTGAACTTATATACTCTTATATACAATAGACTTATATAATTTTTCAAATCAAAAAATAGTTTCTGAGTTGTTAATTGAATTAAATTGCGATCAAACGGGGTGAACTCGAAGGTCATTTTTTCCCACGATCACTCTTCCATTTTCGCGAACACTGAACTATTTCGTTTTTTAGCCATTTTTTTTCATTTTTTTATTTCCGAAAAAACAAAAACAAAAAGACTTGCAAAAGTTATGATATTCATACTCAATAAACAGAGAAATTAATTTTACTGTTAGTTTCTAAACCAAAATACCGATTGTGCTTGCCAATTTGTACTAGATTGGTAGGTTATCAGACAACTAATAAATTATTAGTTGTCTGAGGTTGGTTAACTGTTTTATTAAATCCTTTTCAAAATATCGTGGCAGTTTTTAAAACTGCATTACATATTTGCTAATGAAAAATCAACTGCAGAATATAAATTAAGGTTTCTTGGAGTAAGTTTGATTTCTAGTCAATGAACACTCCTGAGTTGGGAGGCTCTTGTCTGTCTTTTGAGGTCAGTTGCACTGTAGTTACTAGCGAGCGTGGATCTAGCCTCTGATCATGATTGACCCTCAATTGATTGAACCTCAGCCTCAGATTGGGAATCCAGCAAATAAAAAGCAAATAAATCGCTTGTTTAAATATTTTTTCCCCGTACTTTTTCTCAAGGTAATCCAATATCTGTTTTAGTTTGGGAAACAGCAAATATAGTTTATAGTAACAAACTCCTGGGCCGTTATGTTTAAATGCGATTATTGCACCGTGACGGCTTGGTTTTTTTTCATATATATACATGTTTGCTGTTAGTGTCTCATTTTATATCCATCGTTTTACAGAATGGACCCTTTGGTGTTTGGACACCTCGTCGGTAGAAAAAAGTCAATGTTCTTTTCAATATCAAGCTCTGACTAAATACGCTAGTCAAAATAGTTAGGTGAATATGTGAGAAACATAATTAAAATAAAAACGTAAGTTACTGTGTTCAAATAGCTAGCTAAGTTTTGTACATTGCAAATATAAGATTTGCAGATTGCAAGGGTGTTACATTTCTGTTGCTCACACGTGTATGTTTGCTATTAAAATAATGTGAATAAATCAATTTGGTCAAAATCCTCTTTAGGAAACGTTTCTGTTTACCAGATCTGCATATCGTGTCACAATTTGCATGTCCAGCAACAGGTGGGCCTGTGATTGGTAAACTGAGCTAGGTCAAAGGGCATAAAGTGTGTTGCATTGCACCACGGGAGAATTAAATTCAAAATGGCGGCGGCTGTTGCGCCAGTGTTGAAATCTGCCACTTTCGAGCTTTTCCACAACAATCCAATTATGACTGAGAACGATGTTAAAAAAACTAGCGAGGAAGAGAACCAGGTCGATGGATACGATTGTGAAGTGGAATCACTCATAGAAATATCGGCAGATGAAAAGAAGGCATTGCTATCTCGCTCCAAACAGGAATTCAGTAACCGACGCCGTGTTGTGATTGAAAACCTACCAGCAAACGTTAGCAAACAGGTTTGTTTTTACTCATATCGATTTGGTAATTTTAAGTTTTTTATCTCAACGTAGTGTATTCCCTTTTCAGTGTTTTTGTTATTCCAGAGAATTTTCTGCGTAAATGAACTTTTGAACTGCCGATTGAATCGGCAGTGTTAGTATCTCGTGTCTTTTGTTTACCCAGATAACGTTGTTGTATCGTATGTATACCATGTACTACGTTACATTAGTCGTTATGTTATACAAATGCTTCTTTCGCTCTCAAACCCCCAACCAAATCGCATTGAATTGTGTCACTAATTTGTTTTTTTAACCGAAAAAACTGTCAGCACGTTTTATTGTTTCAGAAAAAAAATAACAGTATTGAGAAATGTGTATCGTATAACGGCAGCAGTACACGTTGCATTGCCGTATAATCTTCTCATTCGTTGACTGTTGTAGCTTGGTTGTCACTAATGTGCTGTGTTGAGATGAAAAACGCACATACGGTCCGTGTAAAATAAAATGATAGGATTACTTGGGTTCAAGCTGTTTCCCCCGAACCAGTGCGTGTAATACAACGCCGTAAATCAACCCTGTGTGTTTCAATGTGTTAGCGTGTAAAACGACGAATGGTTTCATCATATTACCACTCACCATCTGTATGTGTGGACACATGCATATATGCAAAACAAAAAGACCAAAATAACAATAAATCTGCTTAATTCACCAATCCCCTAGTCTTACTGTAAGCCACCATACCCACTGATAAACTTTAAAAAAAACATCCATATTGTGTATCCTTTTTAGGCTCTAGAAGAACTCCTCAGTGGTTTTCAAGTAAAGCAGATTGACATTGAAGGGAGCAAAAGAAAAGGTAAAACACTATTATTGAAGTGATCATATCAAAAAAAAGTCTATTATTGGTGCTATTTTCATGTTACTGCTTTTAATTTTTTAATCTCCGGTATTAGTGCTGGTAGTCAAAGCTTCTAAAAGCTTACTTGTTAAATATACTGGTATGCGTTGTTGTGTGTATAACTGTGTAATTATAGTACAAATAATACTGAATTGGGCTGCACTGCAAAAGATACTGGTCCGTTCAGCAGGATTTTACAGATTTACGGACTGTTTTTCATTGTGTTGCTCCATATTGTTGAGCAATTTGACCTTTCAATAATTGTTGTTTCTTTTATTAGAGTGCTTGGCCTAGATTACCAGCAAAATATGCTGTTTTGTTGTACTTCTTATAGTGGTTGCAGTGTGAGAAAAACGTTTGCACTATACTATGGTTCAAATTAAAATGAAATATGATACTAATAATAACTAGATGACGTCCTACTCACAACTATAGTTGTACATAATTTGTCTCCAAGACCCTGGATGATATGATTTGCTATAAATGATAGTAAAAAGATCAATTTATATGTATCTACATCACTGGTGGGTGGCTGGGGCTTCAATAAATTGTATTCAGTATTATGAAAATCAAATATTGAATAAATAAATAAGTGATTCAAAAGTTGAATCAGAGTATCATGTCTGTTACAAAATTATCATATTTTATGTGCTGGTTTATTTTAACAGCTTGTTTTCAATAAAATGGATATGTTTTGACATGTTTGGTAGTGTATTTAAACTAAGTTCATGCAGTTGTGATTCTGTATTAGAAAAAAGACACAGCAAATTATATAAAGCATAGTACAAGCAGGAGTAGTCTATCACATTACCATGATTTATTCATACCGTGGTTGTCATTTTAAAAATAAAATCTTGAACACAGATGCTGTGCTGCTTCATGTCGTAACCAGGTAACTGAATATAACCATGCAAGTTGATAACTCCTTGGCCAATTATAGATAATTTATGCCTATTTGGATATTATTGTTAATGGGTCCTTAATTAGTCTACTGAATTTTAATGAAAAAACTCTGAATTTTGTGGTAATTTGTTTGTTTCTGGATATAATTTTTCAAATTTATAAAATTTTAAAATGGTTGGCCTCTTGACTCTGTAGTTAAAGCCATCTTAAATAATACAAGCATAACGTTCATGCAAAAAAGTTGTGATAGGTATGCAAATGATCTCTTCATTCGTCACACTTCTCTGAAGATTCAATAGGAATTGCATCTCTTGCTGGAATGTTGTAAAATATGCACACGTCTTTGTCACTCTTTAAAATATGTTCAAATTAATGTAGCAATTAACGCAAACATTTGAAATTGAATTGAAACAAAACTGATTTCCTGGCAAGTTAAACTAGGATTGAATTGACTATGGCCATCCATAACTAGTCATTTGATGAATTCCTAATTACTGTACTGTTTAAATTTACATTGATAGTGACATCTAGGAGAGCAATCCGACTGGAATTGATTCTACTAAAACATGTACCCAGTAATCAAAAAGAACATCTTGTATTGGTAATTGATTGCGTTTCAGTACATCGCCATGGAAATAGAATAATTTAGCTACTTATACGTCGAATGGGATTAGTTTGAATTTACATGTATATGTAACTAGTTTCTGTCATGTCAAGAGCTTGGTTACAGATTAGCTGATAGTTCTCTAGATTTCAAAAAACAAATTTGAAAAAAATACCTACATATAGACAAATCTGAAAACCATGATGATCCTCATTGTGAAATTTAAGATTAATAACCCTTTGAATGCAATGGAAACTTTTAGTATCATTAACAACAAATTTCCTCATCTTTTTTATCATTCGTTTCCAAAAAGTTTAATCAAAGCCTGTAGCTATTATTGGGGTCAAAACCGCAACAATTTAAAAATATATCAGCAAATTAATGGAGGAAAACTGAAAATAAATAAATTGTTAGGTGCCACAAAAAAAACACATTAACATATATTTTTCCTTTTATAAAATTAGATCATGTTTTTTTTTTTTTTTAATTTTTTTTTTTTTTTTTTATGAAGATCCTAAAGAGGATATGTTTACAACAAATTTTTTTCTTATTACCGGTACATCAAATTTAAGCATTGCAGTCTTTTCCACATAGTTATTGATTTTATACAGGGTTCTTTCAGCATATAGCTTAATTATAACGATATAGGAAACTGAATTTTATTGACACATGAAATTCAACAAAAGAAATAGAAATGCTCTCATAGAAAAAAACTGCACAACACACTGAAGAACAAAATTATAGTATGCTTTAACTTTTTTTTAAGTATTCACATAAATACTATGAACTACTTTAATTTAACCCGAACCATATGCAAGCCAGGAAACAACAAAATTTTGTAGTTGGTGAACATATTCAGACAGAAAATGTCATCACAAATGCGTATGTTTATTGTTGCTATGTTTAACTGTTTTTGAACCTCAATGACAACTTTTTTGAAGAAAATAAGAAATTCTCATTGATAGGGAATTCTTTCCCCTAGGAATTACCAGGATGTGTGACCTTTTGAGGTCATTCATGAAGGATAAAGAAAAAACATGTGTAGCATTGAATAAGCCAAATAAAACTAATTTCGTGTTTCTGACAGTTATTTTTATTTTTTTGTTTAATTTAATTTATTTTTTCAATGAGCTGTACTCGTGTATTTTTGTGAGAACATTGTCATGGTTAACTAACTACATATATGAAAATTAACATCCAAGTTAGTTTTCAGAATATGTTTCCTTCATACAACTAGGCTAGTAATTTAAAACATTGTAGGAAGTCTATGAAATCAGAAAATACAATATTGATGGAATGACTATAGGTAATTTGCATAGAAATAAATAAATTTTGAGCTCGTACAATTTCCATAAAATGAACTTTTCGATTTCCCCCCAAATCAGTAATAAATTCAGAAACACAAAATTTATTTTATTTCGCCGTATAGTCCAAATTGAATTGCAACAGCTTGTTAGGCAGAGGCAACTTAGACATGACCATGAACAAAATTGATGATATTTGCTCTCTCAAGAGAGACTGATAAGGTATAGAATTAAGTTGCCACAGATGTCATAATAACAATGCATTCATAGAGTTTCAAAAAAAGGATTGACCCATGCAGCAACATGTGTATACAAGTGATAAGTCATGACCCGTCTAACCCCAAATATCGCATGTGGTGTGAATTTACTCAGTTGTCGTCTAAAATTGCAATAACAAACTAATAATTTAAAAAAAAAAGAATAATTAAATATTAATTTTTCTATATTTTGTGGGATATGACAAGATATATTAACATGTATTTTGGTGGATTGAAATTACAAACTAAATTTAGTCATTTCACAACTTGTATTAGATCTGAGCATGCAAATGAAAGATTGTTTATTTTAATTATTTTGTGATTTCCATTTGTAGGATTCAGTTCTCTCAAAATGACAACTATCGTTATGAGACATTTCTAATTATTTGCTATATTTTGGGTTTAAAATAATAAATTCGACGCAAACACTTTGGCATTTTGTCTGAAAATGATTAAGCAAAATTAGGACATTTTGAAAAAAATAACAACCAATTGCTGGAGTCTAGTGAGCATCTGAATCAATGTGTATACATACCATAATCTTTTTGTCTGAAAATGATTAAGCAAAATTAGGACATTTTGAAAAAAATAACAACCAATTGCTAGAGTCTAGTGAGCATCTGAATCAATGTGTATACATACCATAGTATATTGGTTAGTATCACCTGTATTGGTATATATACTTGGAAGAAAGGCTTTGTGTGGCATATTATAGCATGTCTTCCCTGCATCCAGGAAATTGTGGGTGGTCATACAGCTGTATAGTGTACCTCCTTGTACAGGCTGCAGGTGCCTTGCGAATCAAACACAATTGAAAAAGAGTGTCTCTGCCTGAATATCATTCGGTCTGTTGGCCCCATGTGTTCTTTTTGTAGGATTACAGACATTCATTATCTAAAACAAGCATGATTCTCAAAGACGAAGCTGCCTCATGATCCACGCAATGAATTTTCGGATTAACGACTGTTTTCCCCGACGCTAACCAACTTTCCCCCACGCTAAAGAAAAAATCTTTTGTCTTCTAATCTGAGAATAACAAATATACTGTATCAAGCCATTTTAATTTTGATGACAAATTTTAAGTGAATTTTGCAAGTTGGTAAAAATTCTAATGTTTTGTGTCAATGAAAATTTCACTATGGTTCTATAGACATAACGACTTTTGTAATTTTTTTTTCTCTCTTCACAAATATTCTCAAACCATCAAATCATGCATAAATATGTACGTAGCCGTGACAAATTGAACTATTTGCAGTATTGTAATGTAGAACTGGTCTGAAAGGTTACTTTGTGTGTATGTTTTGTCAATAACCGTTTGGACACAATGTAAATCATATTGTTTATAGTAAACTAGTGTCAGAATACATGTATCAACATAAAAGATTGATTAGATACATGTATACTTGGCACATTTGGCTGTCTCCAAGCACAATGTGTATTTACTCTTTTAGAAACATATCTCATATAGAGTTCAGTTATATACAATGTGCTGTATTTGCTGTATTAGTAGCACATTTCCAATAGAGGCACATACCATATTTGCTCTATTATAAACACATCTTGAATACTAGCCCATACCGTATTGATCTCCAGTCGAGGTGCTTACCATATTTACTCTATTAGAAGCACATCTCCAATAGAGACATGTACCATATTTAGTCTATTAGAAGAACATCTCAAATGAAAGCCCATATTGTATTTGCTTTAAAAAAAAAATCAAAATAAAGACTCATTGATAGTGATTTTTCAAACAATTGTGTATTGGTATCAGGGGCTATTTATATGTGTATGCAGTAGAGAAACCATGTATGAGAGTATGAAACAGTATTCACACATCCATCCCATGGTGCATATCATTCACAATTGACATTTATTAGTACGAAATATCACTGCTGATAATTTATGTTAAACATTATAATATTCACATTACATATCATTAGATTCATGAATATTCAAACAGTAGCGAATAAAAATTGCTCAAGTGATGCAATTAGACTCACTCTAACTCCCAGTGTCCAACTTGAAAGTTTATTGATCATGTTGCATTTCTGTATTCAAGTGACAATTACGACAACCATAAAAAATAAACCCATTGCTGTTAACAGCTGCAAATGTGCATCTATTCGCCCACTGGTTTTCTCAGACCTATAAAATTATGTAGTTAATGTAGTTCTGGAAAATGACAATTTCTCTGTCATTTTAACAATTAGAATCAGTCATATGTGATAATAAGGTTATTACCTACAGGTCCAAGCATGATGGCTGAAAGCATCGTTAGCATATCTAAATTGTGTAGAGAATTAGTAACATACAAAATGTAGATAAAAATACCATAAGAAATACTGTAAAACATGTCTTTTTCGCGAGCATGTCTTTTTCGCGAATTTAGCGAGAGAACTGATTTGCTAATTCAAGATGTCGCTAATGACTTTATTATCAATTCAAAATGGCCGCCAAACAAAGAAATCAACAATGACAAGAGAGATTCGCTAAATCAACATTTCGCTATTACGTCATTTTACCACAATTCGCTAAAATTGTATGCCGCTTTTTCAACATGTTTTACAGTAAGTTGAAATTACTGATGACAGTTATATTCACTTGAAAAATTACACATTTTTAAGAAAAGGCCAAGCCAGCTGATGGTTAAGTTACGTCGCAACAGTCATTTTCTATATTAGTAAGTTTGTGGATAATACATGTACTAGCGCATAGCATCATTCACATCAACTAGCCCTACATGTGATATGTGATATCTGGCGATTACTTAATTCACAGTGGAGCGCTAGTTGATGAGGTTTGGGGAACCAGCCATGTATTGATATGCAATGGATATATACTTGTATTTCTACACTTCATTTCACGTACCATATGCTACATGTACATATGCAACAGATGGGACTGGGTACTATTTCAGTCATTTCCTTTTAGTCTAATTAAATAGTTAAAATAAAATTATTATAAATCTATTTTTGTAATAATAATGTTACATTGCAATTTTTATAGCATGATATATTTATGAAGATTTCAAAAACCCTTTATATTCAAGTCGGTCATATTGTCTCACTTCTGCACTCTATTGAAATAATGGTTAGGCATTGAATGATGCCTCAGTGAATGATGATGGCTTCAAGTGTTATATTATATTCAGCCATGCGTCATCAGTTTGCATCAGCCTCATCCTCCACAACCATGGTAACACATGGACTCGTGTTCACATACATGTATTTTTTTTTACATTTCTCAAATGTACAGTAATGGTGACCCTTAAAAAAATGTATAGCCTGGTGTTTATCAAAATAGTATTAAAATATTTGTATTATATACACACAGTATGATGTCAAGGCCAACACTTGATAAAAAAAATGCCCAATTTAAAGTGTGAATGAAGTGAAAAGTGTTTTCATGTTTGTGAAATTTTGTGTGAATATAAATATCTGGATTATATGATGAAACATAATAACAAAAAGGAAATTCAGATACGCTCATGGGTGCATGTGTCACCATGTGCCACAATGCAATACTTTGTAGTGGAATTTTTACATTTTCTGACTGTTACTTTTTCAAGAATTATTGTATAAGGGTCTAATAGGCTATAATATTCTATCAAAATCGAATTTATCTGAAAGATTGACTTGGATGATGTTCATCAGTAGCAATATAATGCAATGTTTCGGCATTTTTATTTCAACGTTGATTATACAGTAAACTGCTTTCATCCCAGGTTGGTGTAAACACAGTCAGTGTCATACGATCGATTCACAGTGTAGTGTAAAATCTTAAATTGCAGTGTTCAAAAAAAGACTTAAATTTGTATCATGTCCTCTAACTTTTCGCATGAAATGTAGCATATTATTGTCAAGCAAATTAAAAAAAACAAAAAACGTGACATTCCTTGATTATTTCGTCACTCTACATTTCTGGTGATCCATACTAAAGATTGCAACACATTGTACCAAAGAGATAATCTCAGTTGTGTACTTTTGAATTATATCTAAATTAGTCCAAAAACAATTGTGCATTATATATTTTTTGGGGAAAAGATTTTTGAATGTTCACATTATTAGATGTCGCAGCATTATTTTTTGACAGATTTGCATACATTCTTACAAAGCTCTGTCGAAACAGCAACTCGTTGTGTGCGTTAACTTCCCGCTAAATCTATTGATGCTAATTTGTATCTTTATTAAATCACACCTCTTGTACAAATTACTTTTACAGTATTTTTGGCAATTTTTTGCACTAAGCGTTGTTTCAGAAATATATAAGGTACATGCTTAGAATACTAATTTCAAGGTGTTACAGTGTAAGTAATATTTAAATAAAATGGCTTCGAAACTGAGTTGAATTTAAAGTTAGTTTTCATATACCGCATTTGTGAACTGAATCGTTACAATTCATCTTATTTTGACCACACAAGCATATGTACTACTACCGATAATATCGTAAATACGGTACAAATTTTGCCAAATTGTTCTTTGTACATGAACATTACTTCACTTGTCTGTAAAATATTGTACAAACTTGTTCGAAAATGTTACAAGCACGCCCTTATTTCGAAAATGTGCACCACGTTTATCTCTTCAACTTCTTTTCTTTGATTATATTGTCTGCAGCAACAGGTCTGCCTTTGTGCATACTTTGCGGTATTCTCGTAATAAGCCCTTTGCAATATTAACTTGAATTCTAACTTGAATTTTGTTATTGCTTTATTACAGCTCAAGTAATATTAATCAGCAGTGATGAAGCGAGTAGAGTGATTGCTAAATTGAATAATTCACTATATAAAGAGAATAAGATCCTTGTAAGAATGCCACCATTAGAGGTAATCTGTATTATGAATCTTCCGTTGAATTTCAACCACCAAGACTTTGAAGACTTAGTGCAACAGTTTGGCAGTGTACATAGATGCTTTTTAATCTATAGTGAAAGCAGTGGACACAGTAAAGGTTATGGATTTGTAGAGTATGAAAATACAGGTGAGTATTACAGCATGCTTAGTTATTGCTATACTAGCAAGCGAGCAAGACGTGCCTGTTTATTACATTTGTGGCTTTAGGGAATATTGGTGCTACATGTCTGTATGATCCAAATACAACTTAACTCTCAGTCTTGTTCTCAGCTGACTAGCCCTTTCATAAAAACTTTAATGTAAGAATCGTTTTCGTCAATAATCTTAACTTAGTCTTTGTAGTTCAGTTAGTTCAGTTCTGCCCATAGTGACCACCTTTGGATAGTCCCAATGCAATTTACATGTAAAGTGACCTGTATAAAGACCACCTGTTTAATGTCATATGTAGCCACCCTTTCGGCACAAGTTTGGTCAAATAAACCTGTGTTTAAAAATTATGGAAGATGATTACATGTTTAGTTATTGAATGTTGTTATATTGAAATTTCCCCATTAATGAAGACTAACAAATTTACCTTTGTTTTTTCTCCATCTTCAAATGTTGGCAAATTGCCGAAGAAAATATTTTCATTCACAATTTAATTAATCAACCTCCATATCAAGACCATCCGTCTATAAAAATAAAATGTTGTTTTTCTCTTCAGAATCTGCGTTAAAAGCTCGTAATGACCTTGCTAATAAACAACTAGGTAGCAGAATACTA